CATTCGTATTTTTTTCTTCAGTTCTGTGGATCATATCCAAGGCCTCACCTATGATAGAGGGGCTACATTCCCAGAACCTCTGCTTTTTTTTTTTTACTTTTTGTTTTAAGATAAAATGCCTCTAAATTTCCCTAGCAGGCCTTAAACTTGCAATCCTCTTGCTTTAGCCTATTGAAGAGCTCAGAATACAGGCCTGTGGCACCAAGCTCAGTTTGAACAGGTACATTTTAAGGGAAACAGGGCAATGTAATAGAGGCAGTATGCATGTGTGTTGGGGGAAGATAAGGTACTCTAAGAAAGCTTTTAAAAGCAGATGACATTTGAGTTGAGACCTGAAGAGCAAGAAAAAGTTGACAGATCTACAGAAGAGATGTTCCAGGCACAGAGAAAAGCAAATATAAAAGTCCTGAAGTGGAATAACTTGTGGCATTTTGCAGTAATGAAAAGATCCTGGTGGTCTTCTGAAAGTACACAAATTTTTCCTCTAAAGTTAGGTGTCATTATAAGAAAAGAGCACTGTCTGGAGTCATTAAAGCTAGGTTTAGCCTCAATCTCTATCTCATTAGCTCTCTAGTATCAAGTTTCCATCTGTTTCTTCATAAACATGGGAAGGTTACTAAATAATAAATAATACTTATCCTCCAGGGTTGATGTGAAGATTAAATAAGGCACGAAAGAAGCACTTTATACATTGCAAAATGCAATCCACAATTAGGTATAATTGCTGTATTACAGTATTATCATGTGATCTGTGGTTGCAGAAGCTATTTTTAGTAGCTTTTATTGTATACCTCGGTCTCTTTGCGACAAGACATTTTAGGTGTCGGGTTGCAGCAGGCCAAGTTGGTCTGTCTGTTGCTGCTATTCTCCATTAATGTACAATTCTTATTTTGTGTTATATTCCCAGATACAGTGAAAATTATATTTGGTTTATTTGGTAAATTAATGTTTGACCTCTTTAGCTTGTGTAGAGTAGATATTGTGTACATATTCCAATGTTATTCACATTTTTTAAAACCACAGGAGTGGACTTACAAGAAACAGTACTGTAAAATACATTGACTCTTGCCTGGGGGTACACACCATCCCAGCACTTGGGAGGCAGAGGCAGGCAGATCTTTGTGAGTTCAAGGCTAGCCTGGTCTACATAGTGAGTTCCAGGGCAGCTGGGGCTACAGGGAGACCCTGTCTCAAAAAGACCAAAAAAAAAAAAAATACATTGATTCCATTTAAATACTTCAAAACTGATACTGGAGGGATGACTCAGTGGTTAAGTGCTGTTTGGAAGACCAGGTTCCCAGCACCCTTTTCAGGCAGTTTACAACAGCCTGTAACTTTAGGGTTCAGGAGATTTGACTCCTTCTTCTGCCTTCTGTAGGCACCAGCACTTCCGTGAATATACCCACACACAGTCACAGACACAGACACACACATTCCTCCCACACATACACAGACACACTCACACACCCCCATACATGTACACATTAACTGAAAACAAAATAAATCTTTTAAAAAATTTATTATTTTTATTTTATGTGTATGAGTGTTATGCCTGCATGTAGGTAAGTGCACCTGTGTCATGCAATGCCCGCGGAGGACAGAAGAGGCCGTCGGACCCCCTGGAACTTATGCAAGAACAGTCAGTGTTCTTAACCACTGAGCCATCTCTCTAGTTCCGACAAAAATAAATCTTTAAACATCTCAAAACTGTTATTCCGTGTCAATAATACTTGTAAGTAATTCTAATAGAACTCAAGACTTTGTAGGAGTTTTAGAAATCTGAACTCTTTTGTGATTACAATCTTATGATTCTCTAGAAATTTTAAGTTTTATGTTGAAGAAGTAGGCAATATCTTCTAGTGGACAGAGTTGATGAGAAGCCAGATTATCATGGTTTCAGCTTGGGTTTTATGCCCACATTCTTTTTTATTTTTTCAGCTAGGATCTCACTATGTAGCCCTGGCTGGCTTGGAACTTTTTATGTAGACCAGGCTGGGCTCGAGCTCAAAGGATCTGCCTCCTGTCTCAGCTCCTTGAATACTGTGATTAAGGGTGTGTGCCACCACACCCAACCCCCACATTCATCGTTATCTACTAAGAATACATAAGAACAGCCATAGAAAACTGTTACTTAAGATCCAGCAAAGTCAAGTTGGGCTTGGTGATGTGCACATTTAATCCTAGATAGAGGCAGGTGGATCTCTGTGAGATTGAGGTCAGTCTGGTCTACACAGCCAGTTCCAGGCCTCCTGGGTTACAGCGAGGGACCCTTCCTCAAAAAACAAAACAAATCAAAACAAACAAACAAAAGACCTGGCAAAGTAATATGTGTTCATAAAAACCTAAAAATGTAACATATTTCATCATATCATGTCTGAGAATCCCTCACAAAATATTTATTATGTGGTTTCTTATATCTTAAATTTTTTAATTTATTTTTATTTTTATGTGTGTGGGTGTTTTGCACAAAACATTTATTACATGGGTTCTTATATAATTTTTTTGGTCTTTTTGAGACAGGGTCTCCTTGTAGCTCCAGCTGTCCTGGAACTCACTATGTAGACCAGGCTGGCCTCAAACTCACAAATATCCGCCTACCTCTGCCTCCCAAGTGCTGGGATTAAAGGCGTGCACCACCATGCCTGGCACATATCTTATAATTTTTTATTATTTTATGTGTATGAGTATTTATGTAAGTGTATTTGTGTATGCAATGCCTATGGAGACAGAAGAGGATGTCAGGTCCCCTGGAGCTAGAGTTATGAATGGTTGTTAGCTGCCATGTGGGTCGTGGAAACCAAACTCAGGTCCTTTGGAAAAGAAGTCAGTGCTTTTAACTACTGAGCCATCTCTCCAGTCCTAGGTTTCTTATGTCTTAAAAAAGGTAAGAGCATCATCTAACAAAACTTTACCTGGGTAGTAAGAGTCAATGGCAACATTAGTCCTTACAGAAATCAGTGGTGCACCATAGAATTTCTCTGATACAGATTGTTGCTTTCTAACCCAGAGTTGATGCTGAAAATATATTAATTAATAATATAGTCATTAATAAAGGAAACCATTACTGATCTTTTGTCAACAAGGCAATAATAAGCTACAAACATTCAATTCGTCACCAAGTTTTGTTGATTCTACCTCAAAATCCTTGGAATTGCTCTACTGTCACTTGTACTGCTAAGTTTTGGCCTTATGATTAACTGTTGTATTTTCTTCAGGACTCCAATTTGAAACCCCTGCAATATAATGTTTCCACTTAAGCCAGAGGGGTTAATGGTCATAGAAATCTGATCATTTTGCTCTCCTGATTAAAGCCATTCAAAGGCTTCAGTTTAAAGTATTAAATTCCTGAAGCCAAGGGTAGTGGTACATGCCTTTAATCCCAGCACTTGGAGGCAGAGGCAAATGGATCTGTATGAGATTGAGGCCAGCCTGATCTACATAGTGATTTCCAGGCTATAGGGAGACCCTGTCTCAAAAAGATCCCCCCTAAAAAGTATTAAATTCTTAAAATGAAATAGAAGGTCTTTCTGTTCATCCTGACTCATCTCCTACTATTTTGTCATATTCTCTCTGGACTCCTGATCTTGAAAATATTTTCTTAGGCCCTCTTTCTTTTAAGATTGACATTTTCTTTTCATGGGGTTCACCTCTTCTGCTTGAAATTAGATTCTTAAAAAAAATCGTTTTAAAGCTGGGCGTGGTGGTGCATTCCTTTAATCCCAGCACTCGGGAGGGAGGCAGAGGCAGGCAGATCTCTGTGAGTTCGAGTCCAGCCTGGTCTACATACAGGGAGACCTTGTCTCCAAAAAGACAAAAAATATTAAATAAATAAATTTAAAAAATCATTTTAGTATTTTCTTCCCTTGAAACTTAGAGTACAATAGGAATCTCAGAGCAAAGTAAAGCTAAATGCATGGGCCATACAAGTCTTTGTGTCTTTCTTCATCAGATTTATCATTGGTTCATGCGTCTATCTAGTTCATAATTACTTGCTTGTCTTGTATAAAAGGTATGATAATGAGCCAAGTTTGGTGGCCCACACCTTTAACTCAGCACTCAGGAGGCAGAGACAAGTGAATTGTTTTGAATTCAAAGCCAGCCAAGTCTAGCGAGCTTCAGACTAGTTAGGGCTACATAGTGAGACCCTGTCTTTAAAAAGTTTGAGAATGCATTAATGAGTATAAAATTGCAACTGTCTTGTTGACTCCAGAATTTCAGATAACATTTCTACTTGGAAATTGTTTCCTAGAAAACCGTAAATATTTTCATAGTATTTGGTTTTGTTATAGTGGTGATAATATAATACAAACACATGTTTAAATATGCACTTTACTACATAATGTGTTTACTTACCACCCATCAATCTAGCAGTTTTTCAGATACTCTAAAGAGAACAAAGGGAAGAACTACAGTATGTGTGTGCACTCTAACCACCTAACCGAACAGCAAAAGACCAACAGAAAACTGCCCCCCAAACAGAATACTCAGCAAAGTAAAAGTGTTCACGAGGGTTTTGGTGGTGACTCTCACTGATGTAGCCTCCTTCCAGAGAAATCTTTCAGTACTTTACCCCTAACCGTTAGTGCACGCGGAGTATGGGGCGTATAGGGAGCATGGAATACGGCACTGAGCAGGAGGTAAGAGATTAGAATGATAGACAAGATAGGGTTGGCACAACTCCCAAAACAGTATTTGGAGCATACCCATACCAATAAATAATTCGTTATTTATCTGAAATAACATTTAACTGGGCACCTTGTATTTTATCTGGCAACGCTAGGAAAAGAGAAAGACAATGGTGTTCAGAAGATGTTCCCGCGGTGTAAGAAAAAGCCGAGCCCCAGGGGAAAGGAGGCTACACCTAACTTCCCGCAACTTCAAACAGAAGCTATTTCCGGTGTCGGACTCGGGGCAGAAACGCGGGGGAGGGGACCGACCGGGAAAGCGGCCCAGCAGGCCGCCAGTGTCCCACAATCCTCTTCTCTCGGTTCCTCTTTCCTTGCTCAAGATGGCGCTGCTCGCGATACATTCTTGGCGCTGGGCAACCGCGGCGGCTGCTTTCGAAAAGCGCAAGCATTCGGCGATTCTGACCCGACCTTTAGCCGCTGTCTGCGGCTCGGGTCCGCAGTGGAGGTCGCATCAGTGCGGCGCTTCGGGGACTTCTCGACTCTCCCGGGTGTGTTGCCACGCTCTTGCAACGGTAGGGTGAAGGACAGGGGGACCTGACGGGCAGAAGGTTGCCCTCATGACCTCGGGTCAGGGAGCACCAAAAGAAAGATTGTCAGGGTTAACTCCGAGTAGCAGTGAGTGAAGGAAATTAGGGTGAGTAATTTGAGGTGGGGGGGCGGGTAAGAACAGATTTGGGGACAACAAAGAGGAACCGAGCCGTGGCTTCCAGGCACAGGGCACTTGGAGCGCTACTCTCTTGTAGAGATTTGCGAGTGTAAGGTAGACCGGGTTGCTTTCAAAGTTAGTCATGGAATTTGCTACCAAATTGTCAGTGGTTCAAATTGTACTTAGTAGGAGGTAGCGTCTTCTAGAGCGCTTTAAGGTGACAGCACGCCACCTCCAAACAAGTAGCAAATTGAATTGGTACATTAACTCTCCTGCTGATTAATATGCTCCCTGATAGGTAAAAACCATAATTCTCTTTCTTTCCAAAACGTAGACCGTTCTAAATTAATTTATAACTTGATTATCTTTTGCCATGATTATTCAGTGGGGTTCTTTGTGCTCAGGTAACTTTGGAAAGTCTCAAGACTTTTTCCTTAAGTCATAAGTGTAACCGTGGTTACAGTGCTTCTAAATATTGGCGTCCATTATCTCCTTCAAGAACAGGTTTAAAAAAAATTATCTGTATTTGTTGTACACACACACACACACACACACATTTTATATATATGTAATTTTTTGATAGGGTCTCCCTGTAGCCCCAGCTGGCCTGGTACTCCATTTGTAGACCAGATTGGCCTCTATCTCACAGAGATCCAACTGCTTCTGCCATCATGCCCAGCTTCAGCTTATATTTCAAAAATATTTTGCTTATATTGACAAAAAGTTTAATTGCCACCACCATTCATCAGTGTTACTTAAAATATTGTCAGTTTTGTTTGAGAAGCCATTTCTTAAATTAGGACTCTGTCAACAAATATTTAATGTGTACTCCCACACTCAGAAACACTTAAGATAGTAAGGACCAAGAGAAGTATACAGTTATGCCTTCAAAGATTGTAGGATTTTTTTTTGTTTGTTTGTTTCTCTTTCTTTGTTTTTTTTTTTTTTAACTTTTTGAGACAGGATCTCACTGTGTAGTACTGGCTGACCTGGAATTCCCTATGTAGACCCTCTGGCCTAGAATTTACATAGATGTGCCTGCCTGACTGCATGTATTAACACACCTTTAAAATCTGCCTCTCTAGTTTTTAGAGGTAGGGTATGTAGGTCAGGCTGACCCTGAATTTACAGATTCTCCTGCCTTAGCATCCCAAGTGTTGGGATTACAGGTGTTAGCTATTAGAGAGAATTTAAAGTTTCTTTTTCCTCCTGTGCAGTTCTGGATTCAAACCCAGGGCCTCATGCATACCAGGAAAGCAGACTACCACTAAGTTGTACCCCCAGCCCTCAAATTGATTTTCAGAGTGTCTGCACATTTTACATTATCAGAACTGAAAGAAAGTTGCTCTTTCTCCATTCTCAGTAGCTTTCAATAGGTGATTTTGATTCTGTTCATCCAAGTGGGCGTGAAGTGGTATTATATCTTGGTTTTGGTTTGCGTTTTCTTTATGATTAAGGATATTGAGTATCTTTCCATGTGCTTATTTTCTGAGATACGTTTTTTCGTGTCCTTTGCTTATTGGGGGTTAATTGGGATTAAACTTGGCCTGCCTTATGCTAAATATACTTTTTGACTCAGCTACACCTCCAGCTGAGGATTTTTCTTTTGTAAATTTTTTATTTATTATTTTATTTATTTTCTTGGTCTTTTTGAGACAGGGTCTCCCTGTAGCCCCAGCTGTCCTGGAACTCACCATGTAGACCAGGCTGGCCTTGAACTCACAGAGATCCACCTGCCTCCCAAGTGCTGGGATTAAAGGTGTGCGCCACCACGCCTGGCTGTAAATTTTTTATATATTCTGGATACAGGTCCCTTATCAGTTACAATGTGCAAGGCCCTGGGTTCCACACACAAGTTCTTTTCATTCTGTGAAGTTAAATTTAAATTTTTTTTGTTGGTCATGCCTTTGATATTGTATCTGAGTTGACTGCCAAATTGGAGGTCATGAAGATTTGCCTACATGTTTGTTTTTCTGATAACTTTATAACTTTATTTTATAGACATGTGGAAAACAATACTCATGCGTAATTCTATGAATTTAAGTGTTATATTCCTAACACTACCTTATCATAATTATTAATTTATATAATTTTATGTATGGTTTTATGTAGGGTGTTATGTAGCTCAGGCTAGCCTCAAACTCACTATGTAGTTCAAGGATGACCTTCTGTGTCTTCCTCCCAGTGCTAGGATTGCAGGTTTATGCCACCACACCTGGGTTATTCAGTGTTGAGTATCCCATTTTAGGGCTTTGGACATGATAGGCCAGCATTCTTAACCAACTGAGCCACAGCTCCCTCCAACTCCTAATTTTATGCCTTTAAAGATTAGCTGAGAATGTTGGAGAAATGGTTCAGTGGTTAAGAGCACTGGGTGCTCTTGCAGAAGACCCAGATTTGGTTCCCAGCACTCACATGGCGGCTGACAACTGTCTGTAACTCCAGTTCCAGGGAAATCTGAAGCCCTCTTCTGACCTCCATGGGCATTGCACAACACAGGTGCACTTACACACAAGCAGGCCATACATTCATAAACATAAAAATAAATAATAAAATATTCGAAGATTAGCTGAGACAAAAAAGGAGGGGAAATACATATTTATAACTTTTGTTACATTAACCTTATCATTTCTAGTTCTGTTCACTTGTTCTTGGGTATTTGAGTTAGTCCGGAGTCATTCCCCATCCCAGTATAGCTGTGCTGCCACCCATTTCCTTTGTGATGTCATTAGCAAATAAGTTGTTTCTGCATATGTTGTAGTTTTGACAGTACATTACATAAATATGTGAGTAGTTTTGCAGTTGCCTCCTATCTATCTATCTATCTATCTATCTATCTATCTATCTATCTATCTATCATCTATCTATCTATCTATCATCTATCATCTTTTTGAGACAGGATCTCCCTGTAGCCACAACTGGCCTTTTTTTGCTATGTAAACAAGGCTGGCCTTGAATTTACAAAGATCAGCCTGCCTCTGCCTCCCAAGTGCAGGGATTAAAGGCGTGCACCACCAGGCCTAACATTCATTTACTTATTTTTTATTTTTAGAATTTTATACTTGAGCACTGTATTTGCATCACCCCACCCCTTCCTCTCCCCCTTCAAACTCCTCCCACACACCCCAACTTTGTGACCTCTTCCTTGATTATTGTTACATATACATACATGTACACACTTGTGCATGTGAGTCCAGTTAGTGGCGCTTGCTTGTATGTGTGTTTAGGATTGACCACTTGGAATTGGAGAACCCATCAGGGAGGTAGTCCCTGGAGAAAACTGATTCTCCATTCCTCAGAAACCATTGATTTCCTGTAGCTCTTCATTTATAGGTGGGACCTTGTGAAATTTCTGCCATCCACATTGGCATGTCAGCTGGTGTCATTATGCAGATAATTGTTTAGGCAACCATATTGTGGGGGTTTCATGGGTGCAGCTTCCCTGTAATGTCTAGAATGTATTATCTAGTAGCAGGTGTCCTGGTCCTCTGGCTCTAAAAATCTTTGCACTCCCTCCCTCTTCTGTGATTTTCCCTGAACCTTAGGTGTAGGGGTTGCGCTGAACCAAGGTTTTAAGAGCCTAGGGCAGAGTGATTGAGCTTCCTTCTCAGTGGCACCACACCCAAGGTTTAGGGCTTTTTCCCCCACCAGTGGGGGTGTGTGGAAAAAGAGAGCCCTACCTCTTGAACTCAGTAGCTCAGAACTTAGCTTCAGCAGCCAGTACTGAGAACAGCAGGAGCTGTGCTGTTACTCTGCAGTTCCCAGGAAGATAGGCATTGGACTAGGAGTATCGGGAGGGGTTCTGCACCAATGTCAAGTGATCTTTCCATCTTCCTGACCTGGGAGGAAAGCAGGGAATGTGTTCTGGTTCATCTCCCACATCTTTGATTGTTCTTAGTGAGCCCTTGGAGATTTTCTTTAGTAAATCTCACTTCATTTGCTTTATGCCTCAAGGACCATTTCTTTCTTTTCTTTTTTTTTTTTTTTTTTTTTGTCTTTTTGAAGCAGGGTCTCCCTGTAGCCCCAGCTGTCCTGGAAGTCACTATGTAGACCAGGTTGGACCTCAGGGACCATTTCTATAGACTTTAAGTGGTTGCTCTTTTTTTTTTTTTTTGGTCTCTTTTTTTGAGACAGGGTCTTCCTATAGCCCTAGCTGTCCTGGAACTTACTGTGTAGACCAGGCTGGCCTTGAACTCACAGAGATCCACCTGCCTCTACCTCCATAGTGTTGGAACTAAAGACGTGCACCAGCACACCCGGCTAGGTGGTTGCTCTTTTTAAAAACAATTATTTATTTTGTGTATGAGTGTTTTGTCCTGCATGTATCTAAGCACAACCATGTGAGCAATGCCTGCAGAGGCCAGAAGATGGCGTTAGATCCCTGGAACTGGAGTTACAGATGACTGCTAGCTACTATGTGAGTGCTGGGAACTGAACCCAGGCCCTCTGCAAGAGCAGCCAGTACTCAACTGCTGAGCCATCTATCCAGTCTCGGGTGGTGGTTCTTTTATAATTTTTTTTTCACAGTTTGGCAGGGGGAGTAGCTTCACGAAGTTTATGTTTTCATTTCAGATGTGGGATCTTTTCCTTCTTTCTTTCTCTTCCTCTTTTCTCTATGTTCTTTCGTCTCTCTTTTTCTTTTCTTTCTATTCCTTTCTTTCCTCCTTTTGTTACTTGAAACAGGGTCTTGCTATATATCAGCATAACCTGTAACTCACTGCATAAACCAGGCTGGCCTCAAACTTGCAGAGTTTGCCTGGCTAGTGCTGGAATTATAGGTCTGTGTCACCATGTCAAGTTCTTTGTTCCCTGGCTCATGTCCTTTTGCTTATTATGTACAAAGAAATACTAGTCTTATTTTTCTAT